AACTCCCCACAAGACTCTTCACACCCCTCTCTCTTGCCACCACTCAACATCTTTCCCTCCTTACCCCCTTTGTTTTCTCTCTTTAAAATATTTATCTTTCTATGGCCTCTCCCCTTTTCCCCTATAGCTACATCTCCCTCCTTCTTGTCTCCTTTCGCACGCATCTGCCTTTCACCCTTTCCCTCCTCACTAAATCCCTCATTCTTTGCGTTCAAATCAGCATTCTCCCTAGAACTCACCCTCGACTCTGCCTTGTTGTTATTAATATCATCTCCACCCTCCCGAATACTCCCCTCCCTGCTACCACCTACACCCCCCACTTCCAATCTCACTACCCCCTTTCTTTTCCACCTCTTCGTCTTCTAGTTTTAGCTTCTCATAGATATGAAGCTTGTTTTCCTCACACATTGATGTACCTATTGTTCTCAACATGAGCTTTTGCCACTGTTATCCCATACCGCAATCAGTTCAGCTTCCTTATTCTTCAAAGGGAAATTTTTTTTCTACAGCATCTTGTATAGTCGGAGAGGCAAAGACAAGTTTCCTAGCTGCCCCAACTGGTCCCATCTTGATCACGTCTGGGTCATTATATGTAGGAGTTTTCCTCGACAGACTTGAATTTTTAATTCGCTCCATCCCCTTCTTCTCAACTTCTCGTTCAGCCGTATCTATTCTGGATTTCTTTTTTGGGGATGCTCGCAACCATGGTCCATACTGGTACACCATCTTCTCCACCTCCCCTTTCGCTTGCTCCTTGAACTGGCAATCCTTCTCTGTGTGTTCTAGTCGACCACAGAAAAAACAAAACTCAGCAAGCCTCTCATACTTAATATCCACCCACCGAGGCTTGTTTTGCCCCATAGCTAAGAATAATCCTCTTCGCAGTGGCTTGTTTATATCCATTAAAACTTTTATTTGCAAGCAATCGTTCCACCCTAGAGGATCAGAGTCATATGCTTCCATAAACCCCCCTAAGAACTCCCCCACATCATACATTACTTCTAATGATCTTTTGTTCAGAGGCACATCCAGAATCCTTACCCACATGGGGGTCTGGTTGAAGACGATTTCAGATGGATGTTCATCGCCAAAAACCTCTTGTAGTATAAGCAATTTCTCGTCAAAGAACCATGGTCTACCTTCAAGCACCCGAGCTTTATCTTCCTCACAGAAGAATTGAAAAACAAATAAGTTCGTCTCGACAACCCTAATTGCGCATTTCTCCTTCAACCTCCATACATTCGCTAACATTCTCTTCATCGCTTCAAGATTGTTAGGTTTAACTGTCCATAGTTTTCCCACCAGCGTAAGATTTATTTTGGTTTTAGTATCGTCACTAACAACTTCTATGTAATCGCCCCCTAGCACCACACCTTCTTCGTTAGTTAACCACAATTTTTCCCAGTCCTTCACCAACTCATCCCCCATGATCCCCCCTACACCCAGAATTAGGGGAAGGATCTCTGAATTTTGAAATTAATCAAGATTGACGGAAGAAAAGAGATACAAAACCACAAAACCCTAGCTTGGGGCTCACTCACCCTAGAGAGGGACTTGATAAGTTTTCATTTTAATAACATTAATATTTAAGAGTGCCCAATGAAATTTAGGCCTGCCAAACTTTTATTGCTGAATAAATGGAATTACCGTTCCCAAATCCTAAATAATTGTTAGGTATTACTAAATGAATAACAATTTAACAAATATATAAATTACACCATTTGATTTAGTAAAAATAAGTTCAGTTTAGTAAAAATAAGTTCAGTTCAGTAAAAAAATAATTTCAGTTCAGCAAAAATAAGTTCAGTTCAGTAAAATTCAGTAACTTTAAAGAAGAAATATAATAGAAAATCAATAAAAAATAATTTCAGTAGTGCAAAATAATTTCAACTCAGTAAAAGTAATTTCAATTTAGTAAAAAAAATTTAAATGCGGCAAAAATAATTTCTACTTAATATTATTTCTATAAAGTGAAGTAAACAGGGCCTAAAAAAAAAGTAAAAATATTATTCCATATATAAAAAATATACGTTAAGTTTAATGTAATATATAAAAAAAATTACACCATTTGATTCAGAAAGTAAATAAAATAATCTAATTAATGAAAATCTTATAATCTTATCTCATGCAAAGGTAGTGGAGTATTGGAGATCAAAAGATTTCCTATGATCATGCATATCATTTAAGCATTTTGACATGATAATCATTAACTTATATTCATCAATGGCATATTAGACATAAAACTTATAGTTGATGGTATATTACGATTTAGTTGATAAAAAAAAAAATGAGTCCTTTCTCTAAAAAACTCAATTCCACAAATACAATCATTTTTTTTTTATAAATTTCCACAATAATGTCTACGTCATCGATTCAAGTAATTTTTAAATTTTTACGGCTTAATGTGAAAACCGCTACTTGAAGTGACGGTTTACACAAGTAGCGGTTTCTATTTAGTAAACCCGCCACTTCAAGTGGCGGTTTTAGGGCTTTGGGTATTAAAAAAAGAACCACTTTAAATTTTATTCTCTCTCACCTTCTCACTTTTGGCTTCCAGTAAAAGCAAAAAAAATTCCTCAATGACGAAATTCATTCTCAGACATCTCAAACTGCTCAAACATGGAGAAAAATTATTCAATCCACCTAATTCCGCCATCGCAGCGGCGCTTGACGCTAGAGATGGTTGATGTTTAAATTAGGGATAATGGAGGGTTAGTATAGTTTATGCCTAATTTCGTTTTTAATTTTTCAATTCAATTGTTAAATTAGGCCTAATTTCGTTTCTATTTTTCAATTCACTTGTTAATTTGTTCAATTTATTCAATTTTTGTAATTGTGTGATCTAGATCTAAACATTCTAAGTTTTAATTTATATTATTTTTGTAAGTTTTGTTTTTGTTTGATTTGGAGTTTTATCAATCATAATTGGATCTGTTTTGTTTTCTTATCTTGGAGTATTATAATTATGTAAACTCTGTTTTTGTATTTTGATTATTTGTTTGTTGAAAGATTTATGTTGCTAGCTTTATATTTTTTAAATAAAATTACCATAGAATTTTCACTTCTAAAAACCGCTACTACTTGAAGTAGCGGTCTTTAGTTTTGAAAACCGCCACTTCAAGTAGCGGTTTCTCTCTGAACCGGTAAAAAAAAAAAAATTTGGGTTTTTCTGACTTGCTTACGTGGACGGTATTTTGGGAATAAAAGAAAAAGAAGCTGTATTTAAGGAATTGGAGTTTTTCCAACATTAAAAAAAAATGTAGGCATTAATGTGATGATTAGTGTTTTTAATTTTTTTTAAAAACTAATGTCACATATATTGATGACGGTGATGGTTAAGTTAGAAATAGATGTTTTAAGAAAACCCTTAATGAATTTTATAAATTATGATTTTTAGATTGTTGAAGGATGAATCTTTTTAGTTGAAGATGAAGGTTTTACGATGAAGAAGACATAGGTTGAAGATGAAGTTCAAATTCATACAAATGTTAATAATGTGAAAGAATTTAATTGTGATATTTTAGTTTAGGATAAGAATTTATTTTTCGATTGGGATTTATTTATTAACATAATTGTAACAATTAGATTTTGGAAAATATCTTATAATATATTTCCCCAAAAAACGCCCCTAATCAACAAATTATAATAATTCGTTTCCCCAAAAAACACACCTAATCAATGGATTTTTGTAAAAATTAATTTAAAATAATATTAGTCATCTTCAACCTTATGTATCTTCAACATTCAATAATGGCACTGTATGTATCTTCAACATTCAACAATGGTGGATTAATAATGAAATTATATCAAAATTAAGCACAAAATTGTTTTAATTAATACTAAAGTAAATGCTATTCAAATCTCCAAATAAATTACTGCAGATTAATACAACAATTTTGAAGTTTATTTTAATCCACCTAATATTCGAATCACAGTACTATAATTGATGAATACAATTAATTATTTCTACAACTGATTTGAATAATGTTTACAGATTAACAAATTCATCGAAATAATTTTTTGGTTGAAGATGGAATGTTTAAGGAATAAGATGACATAGGTTGAAGATTAAGTTCGATTTTAATTTAAAAGATGATTTAAGGTAGAAGATGATATATTTAAAATTTGCTATTTTTTTCGATTTTAGTTAAAATAAATTCCATGTGGTTAAAAAAATTATCTAGTAACCAAACAAGCTCTTGATGACGGTGTAGCATAGGTGTTGGAGTGGATGGCTAGGATTAGATGAATAGATATCAACGGTTCAGATTTAATCTCTTATCGTAGTCGAACATAGTCGTTCGTAGTCGACAACTATGCTAGAATTTTTATAAATCAGAATTATAGATTTTTATTCCTGTTTGTTTTTTCCATGTCTTCTTTTTCTATTCAATTTGTCTCAACCTTTACGGTTTATTTGGTTCATTATTTGTGAGTCAGGGTTGCAAGTTATTAGGGGGTTGCAGTAAGGGGATCTCCACCCAAATGCCCTCAACTAAAACATTTGAATTGAAATCCAAACCGCTAGAATTTGAAGTAAGAAATTTATATATCAAGTGAACCAAATTAAATTAAACCTTGCTTGAGACATTTAGGATATATTTTTTCATTCTATTTTATTAGTGACGACTTTCAATCATAGATAAGTTATAGTTAGAAGAAGAGGGAAAGTTTGAACATATGACTTGCCTTATCGTATTATCCCTTGGTGCTGTAGTGACTAACAATAGTGGTAAAAATTGCAAAATCTATTGGGGGTTGAGTCTTTTGTTGCCACAAATTCATTGTTGACTCCATGTATGGATTTGCAACTTTATCAAATTTAATTTGACAAATAAAGTATAATATTCAAAAGGTAAAATCACATTAAATTGTCGTCACAAATAAAAAGGACACTACGTTGATAACCATGCATATAATATTTTGCCTTGTCTTACCTTTTGTGTATGTTGTTTCCTTAACGTGGAAGTTTCTTAGTACTTAAGTAGCACGAGTAGATGAAGTTTTTTGCTTTATGCTTTCATTATTATGCTTAAAGTCAATGCATGCATGTTTGTACATTTCATATTGACTTTGGTGTCCCACTATACGTAATTACATTAAATTACTCTTTTACGAGTAGGTCATAATTGTTCGGTTGATTTTATTTTTTTTGGAATCAAAGTTTATTATCTTTGATTGTGAATTTTTCTTTATCTATAAAAAAATAAAAATATTAAGCTATGTGAGATCCTGATAGATTATTTTAGAACATTAAATATAAAAAAAAAAAGAAAAAAAAATTAAATGTATATAATATATAATTAATGTTATTTATAGTCAAACATATTTTTAAAAGACCTTAAAATAAAGAACAAATGAAGAGTAGCTTAGTACGGAGTACATTTAATATAAAACTCATGATTAATTTAATATTATTATATTAGCAATAGAAATAATGTAATTTAATGCATAAACTAACTGCATAATTAAGCACAAGAGTTATGATATACTGAATAAATTAAATTACATAAAATTATAGTTACTTTCTTCATCAGAGTGTAATTCATATGAAGAAACATGTGCAAATGAGTTTGACGACGAAGAAGAAGAACAAGGGGATGGAATATTTGAAGTTAATCTGTAATGACTATTATTATAGTCTAACATTATTGCATTGTCATTTTCTTCAATTCTTTGCTTCAAAAATACATGCCAAATGACCCAATCTTCCAGTTTTGATACACCTTTGTAATTCTGCGCGAAAATTAATATAAGTCATTAGTATATATACTACTCCTATATAACATACAATCAAATTTGTGCAATTTTTAACCAAAGTATCAATGGACCAGACGAACTCAACCAAAAACTTAAACTAATGGTTGATATCTAGAATCGATTCATATAATGTACCACAAAGTTTAAGAAATGAAATTCACCTTATTATTATAGACTAAGCTATATTCATTCATGTACCAATCAGTTGGACTACCGTTTGGAGCCCTTCCCATGTGATATACTAAAGTTTTTTTGATGCCTGTTATTATCATCGTTTCGAAATTTTGGCTTGGAGGAGGAGATATATGCATTTCCGAGCCAGTATCTTCCCAATATCCCGAGTTTGTTGCCCTACTCGATCTATTATTTTGGTTACGCTTCTTGTGTCTTCCTCCCTTCTTGGTGAATACATATCTCTCTTCCATTGAATCACCTATAACATATGCATGCATGCAAAATTTTGAGAACACAAACACAACATAGGAAAATTATTGGATTATGTACATTGAGTTAATCCAATTCAAAATCAGGATTATTCAATGCTAAGATGCCAACAAAATTTTTTTCTTAAACTATTCGTGTTAATTTTAAAATACAAAAATGATACATAGCTAGCATAACAATATTTTATTTTCTAACTTAAACAGAATCTCATCCATAATTCTATCTTTATAATCAATTGAGAGCAAATAGAGTGATGAGGCGATTATGAACCATGTTATAGTTGAAAGTACCATGCAGTATGCAATATTAAATTTCTTAGATCTATAGAAGCCAAAATTCACTTGCATTTTATCCCTGCCATTATGCGATAATACGATTATTAACGACGACATGAAGATTAGGGGAAATGTATGATGAGCAAAATATGACATACGTACCGGGCAGCTCCCAAGGGTCTAACTTAGGAAAATGGACCTCAGGGATGATGGAGGCCGGAAGAGGAAGCGAGAAAATCTTGCATCTTAAGTACTGGAAGAGAAGCTCCTCATCGGTAGGTTGAAATCGGAATCCAGGGGGCAATCTGTTCAAATTTTCTCCGACAAAATTGTGTTTTTTCATACTTCAATTTCTTACTATCAAAATTGAAATTTTACGTAGACAAGTACTAATTTCGAGTAGATCAATCGATATCGAGTGAAGAGATAGATAAATCAATGAGGTAGAAAGACTAGAAACTATGTATTATATATGGAGTACCTCCCTACTATCAATATAATGATAGAGCGAAGTATATAAATGAAGGTTTACCTAACTTATGGTAATACGATGCATGCATATATAATGAAAGTCTAGTGTTACAAAAGAAAAGTTGGATCCTTTAAACTAGATTATGGTATCTTTAATCTTCTTTTAAGATCCTTCGTCTGGCAAAGTAAGAATATTTCAATGCTACCATCTTTACTTAATATTGGCACCAAAAGTAAGTCAATCATTTTAAAATCAAAGTTGTCCCATTCGCTAGCCATATGGAAAAACATAATGTTGTGTAAAGAGTAACTCACATAGGACTTGCGATAATGTGACATTATTATTAAAAAAAAAAAAAAAAAGGAAAGGTCACAGTCGTGAACTCGTGATCAATAAGTCTAGTGAGTTACTACACTTAGGCCCCGTTCTCTTCACCTTAATTTTGCTGAACTGAAATTATTTTTACTGAAATGAAATTATTTTTACTGATTAAAACTGAATTTTACTGAACTTATTTTTACTGAACTGAACTTATTTTTACTGAATTGAAATTATTTTTACTGAACTGAACTTATTTTACTGAACTGAACTTATTTTTACTAAACTGAAATTATTTTTACTGAAATGAACTTATTTTTACTGATTTAGATATTATTTTTACTGATTTAATATATATATATATATATATATATATATATATATATATATATATATATATAGATATAGATATATTAGCTAAAATAATCTATTTTTGAAATTATGTAATTTATATAATTTATATATTTCTGTTTAATAGTTAATTAAATTTGTTTTTTATGCAAATAATTAATTACATTTGTTGAACATAAAATAAAACATTCTACAATTTATTAAATAAAAGTCAAACACACTGACATCATTATGATATATATATATATATGAGACTATTAAAATATATAGTTGATCGTTAAAATAGTTTCTAAAGCAGCAAGTTGGAGTTAACGATCTCAAACCAAAAGACTTTAGCACAATTTATGACATGCATGAAAAAAATATTGTTAATTAAATTTTTGGTTTGAATTGTCAGTCAATTTTTTACTACGTATATGTTGGTTAACTGCGTGTAATTTACAAATAATTATAGCAAATATTGGTAGATTGATTGATCATATCAAGGCATGTGAGATTTAAGCAAAAAAAAAAATATGACGACATATTGGTAGTATTGTATAGATCATGCATATATAATCATATATGAATATCATATTTCAATATCTTATTGAATTTATTGTAATTGATTAGGTATGCTATTACGATGAATTTTGTTACCCTTTTATAAAATATAGTACTTGTATTTACCAAATATCACCGACTACAATATTATAAACAAGACATAATATTTTATACTTGACAAAAAAAAAAGATATTATATTTTATAACTATACAATATGTGATAAAAGTATAGACAAAAGTGATGCATAATAAAAATATATGTGAAGTATTAAAAAATCTTGTACGACAATATTTTGAAATATATGGAAAAAATAATTTACATAAAAAAGCCTAGTAAAAAAAAGCATCAAAGTACATGAACTTAAATTATTTTTGCTGAAATTATTATTGCTGAGCTTAAATTATTTTTACTGAACTGAAATTATTTTTGCTGAACTGAAATTATTTTTACTGAACTTATTCTTACTGAACTTAAATTAATTTTACTGATTAAAACTGATTTTTACTGAACTGAAATTATTTTTACTTAATATTATTTTTTTAAGGTGAAGTGAACAGGGCCTTAGTGACCTTTGTTATTCATATTAACAAGTATATTAAAAAATTCATTAAATATCTTAATCTCTATGACCTTTGTTATTGCCCAACGAATTTTACTTTTAACATAATGACTTTTATTTTAACATAGTGACCTTTATGTTTAAATTGCAATATTTAAACATAGTGTCCCTCTAATAAGTGGTCTATAATAAATTAATGTAAATCAGGTCTATTTAAGAGTAGTTAATTTGTATATTGTCATGAACTTATGCTTCACTTAAAGAATAATAATAGTTTTGATGAAGTGTAATATATTAACTTAACTCTTTGGTCATGTTTAGTTCATTTAATTTCAGGTTCTTATTACTTATTTCATATCAGATCATAAAAAATGAGTTTTGAACAACTTTTTCGTTTTATGTGCGATTTTTTAATGCTAAATATATTTAAATTTTTAATGGAAAAATTATGAAAATTACATATTAATAAAATACACATTATTACGAATCTAATAAGACCTTATGATATATTTTTTTCTGTAAAATTAGCGTATATATAAGATCAATGTTTGGTAAAATTAAACAATCAAATCAGATCTGAAAAAATAAACAAAGGTCAAATTAAATAAGTAAAAATAAGATAAACTAAACAGGGCCTTAGCTTCTAATACATTTTAATTGGTCAACTATATCTCTTAAAATTACCTCTAGTTTCTATCATTCTTTCATGCGGTGCGTTGATGATTGGGCCGCCAAAAAAAAAAAAACACCCCTCTCTTTCACACCCAAAAACTCAATACATGGAGTCATTGACCAACTTAGTTTTGTATTTTTGTTTAAGTAACTTTTAGGTCAGATTGTTACATCCAAATATATGAATGAAAATAGTCTATTAAAATATTGGTCTTACTATATCATTGTAAAACTAAATAAAACCTGATTTATTTATTTATTTTTATTTTTAGAACAATATTATAAACCCAAAACTACTTCGTATGGTATAGATAAATTGTTGAAATTAGAGAGTAAATGAAAGAAAAACAAACTCTATACTTTTCTCTTTCCTTATGCTTGTACTAATTTAATTAACATTTAGACTTTTACACAATTTACACTCTAACCTTGAACAATCTATTATGATATACTAAACAATCTATTATGATATACATAATAAATAAATAAAAAAGAAAGATATATATATTATGTGAGATTTTGTCAAAGGGCGGAATTCGACAAAAGGTATCATATATCTCAGTCTTACGACATTATTATATAGGGTAGTTCATTGCAAATTTTCCATATAAGTAAATAAAATGTTTTATACTCACCTTTTTTTTTTAATTTTTTTTTGAGGAAATGTTTTATAACTTTTATAATAAAAGAGAATTACAAATTTTAATGACTAAAGCTCAGCATGGGAAATATATGTAGATAGTGGGTTCGAACTTGTCAAAATTAGATTGAATATGTTATAAATTTAGACAATCTCTATATTTAGGATAATTATACATACTCTTCTCAGGGCTACATATAAGATGTTATGCTTCTCTAGGTCATTTTTTATTTTATTTATTCTGATAAGTTAGGGTATAGCGTTGAGAGAAGACTATTCTAACTATTTGTATACCTTTCCTTTCAAACAAAAAATGAAAATACTAACTTTGGTCATTATTTTGTCATACATTCTAAATTGATGTCAATTAATTAATTATGTTACGAGCAAATGTTTATTTACATTATTTAGAATTTTTTTTAGTCATCCCTTAGGGATTAGAGCTACATATACTATTACCCATATTTTATCGAATCTCTAAGAAAAATCTTCATTTTTTTTGACAAAGGTGTATTTATGAGAAAAAAAACCTAATAATCCTTTTAACTAATTATTTAAGTGGTGATCAATTCTACCCGTCACATAGGCAGTGCTTAGTGCTAGGAGCCTAGGAATACCTTTGTGTATGTAGATGAGTGTATATATTATACTAGTACGTGCCTCGGGCGTTGTCCCGCATACTCATTTTAAAGAGTGTATTTATTTGTGGGCATGTTTTGTAATTATAATAATAACAATAATAAGTTTTAGTATTTATATATATTTTTAAAAATGTAAGATAAAAAAAAGAGTGGAAACACTATCTATTATTCTTTTTTCATTCTTGTTATTATTTTCTATTTTTGTAAGTTGCACTATATTTACTTGGTCTACTCCAACCAATGTTTGTGAATTATAAATAAAAGAATATATAAGTAAGATATTGTTTATCAAAATTCTATGTCGACATATGTGCTAAATTTCAGTGGGACACTAAAGTAATAAAGGAATTATAATTTTGTGAAAAGAAGTGTGCGTTGGTTAAAAAAATAATAAAATAAATAAAAAGTTAAAAATAATTATTTTTTTAACACGTAAAATCAACATATTATATTATTGGCTTAATTGGATCATTTGTAATATATGGCTGATAAATGGGCTACAGAGGCTTTGTAAAACCCCTAAAGTTCTAAGACTTCACTTCAAGATCCCTTGTATTGTACTGTTTTTGTTGTTTCCTAATTTTAGTAGTTTTTTACTTCTTTAATTTCAATAACAAATCACAAACATACACAAAAATATTACAACCAAATATGAAAAATACAAGATTCAAAAGCTTTAATGGTAAATCAATGGTAGACTAAAAAAAATTAATGATACATGACCATTTATATATATAATTATAATTACGTGGCTATTCGTATAGGGTGAAATTATATTGTTAATTTGATATTCATATTAATTATGATATGTGGTGTGTTGCTATAAGTAGAATCCTATTGTCAATAAAAAAGATAATTTTTTTTCAAAAGAATTATAAATGATTTTATGTATACTTTTTTTATCTTAACCAAATCTATCCAATCTAATTTAATATGGTATCTAATCTAATTAGAATATAATATCTGTTTGTTGCCTACGCAGCTCGACACTTGGCGAATAACTGGTATGCCAAGTATCGCTGTCTCGTGGCCTCACTGCGAGACTGGCTTTATATATATATATATATATATTCAAGTAATTAAAGGTATCTTTTGCTAAGCTTTTTATATAAAGAAGTTACTTTTTTCACTGTCGATCGGATAAAATCTTCATAGAAGACTCAAATTAGAATATACTTGTGCAAGATTCAAGGTTGCTTATGGTAATTAATTATTGGTCACCATCATCTTTGATTTCTTGTAGATGTGTGGGCATAGTTGTGTTGGTGTTCGGAAAAAAATGACAACTAGACCTAGTGTTGTCTCGTTTAATGTATAATCACCCTTAAATACAGTGTAGCGATTGTAATTTGCTGAAGAAGATGAATTTTTACCCTAATTTGATATGTATTTGTTAGATTCATTTCTCAATCGTACATATTCTATAACTTATACACTATGTATGCTTATTCCGTCTAATTAAATTTCGGTGTAATTTATAAATTTGTTAGTTGAATGGTTTTTCTTTTTTTTTTTTTTTAATTAAAATTATAAAGCATGCAAACTTTCCACTGCTTGCTAACGTTGAATTATGGACAGATGACACATAAAGGTTCATAAATTCTTAACAAACATAGTCTAAGCTGTGATTTAAAACAACCAATTTTTACTACTTTAGCTTCTTTTTTCCTTTTTTTCCCCCCCATTGTTTAAGAAGAGCT